GACGTAGTGATATTGCAGGTTTTTGACACTTCCGGGTTGGCTTCATTTTTCAGGGCCGGTTGCTACGTCCATCTTTTATACAGTCTATGGTTGACCCTTTGTTTTGGCCTGGACGTTGTTGATTTCAACCTGGTGATTGTCTTGGCATGATGATATCCAGACTATTTCACTAAATAGATCACTAAAGACTTGTATATGCGGACAGACTTACATGGGCTTGGTGAACATTCCTGAGACCTTCTTGCAGCCCTGGTTGTCTCCGCCACACATGCCACACTTGTCAAACTTCTTGTTAGAGTCCAGCTTGCCATCACAGCCTGCCTTAATGCATTTTCCCTGAACGCACACAGCCGAGGTGTCAGGAGAACAAGGTGTCCCGTCCACAACCTGCCGGAGTCACAGAACACAATCATACGTTACATCACATGTTTATCTGGTCTACTGGTCTTTAGATGCTTGATTTTTCTGACTCAACACACCGAAGCCAAAGAGCTACATCAATAAAAAGCCATAAATAGCACCAGAGGGACTGTGCAGTGTCCTTTAGTGTAAACGAGATGTTGGCTTGTATTTCTGTTACAAGCTTGTTTCCTTGCTGATTGCATAAATAGTTGCTGACAAGCCACAGCTGTGAAGTGATACTGTCCCTGCAAGTTTCCTCTCTCAGCGCTCCATCCATCCTCTGCTGCCACCAACATATCGCCTCACACTGCCTTGCTGTCGATGGAACTAGCTGTTAATTCTTGCATTGTGGATAAAGGCGAAGCAATGCCAAGCAAGTAGTTACGCAACAACCGCTGAAACTTTTGTGAACAGAGAGCTGCCCATTATTTCTACCGAAATGCTTCAACTGCACCTCCCATGAGGTTTGACTTATGAGGTGCTCACTGGTAAGCAGTTCATTAGGAAATACAATGGTTGATACCCATTCAGCTCAGAATATTAACAGAATTCCCTGGTGCCATTTCTCAACTTTCTAGACAGATCCAAATGTAGCAGGACTTTGATTTTTATTCACAGCAGCATAATGAAAGCTGACAACACTGCTCTGTGTACCGTGTAAAGGCTGCAATACCATTTTCACCACAGCTAGTAATTATCATGCAAACCAGCCTCTAGATGGTCGGGTAATTACGTTTGGCTGTTAATGTGAAAGAAGTCAATATGTCATTTGCCTAGAACTTTTCAGAACTTGGTGTTTCTCCACTTCATTACCACAGCGTACCCATAGGGCTGTCTACTAAATATAATCTATGGTCTTGAACTAATTCTTTTTTTTTCGGTGATGAGGAATAGTTGATTAAAACAGACACAATCAGACAGTGTGGTTGCTGGGAGGAATGGTAAAGTGAACGTATTAAATTAGACGGATACCTTTGGAGCCAGGACATAGAAGTATCCAGTCCCATTTGCTCGGCAGATGAGCTTGCATTTGTCCTTGGGAGAGATGCCCGAATACTTGGGAACCCAAACCACAGAGGAGCCCAGCCTGTTGGTGTTCAGGTTTAAGCCATTGAATGCCTCACACTGCTCCTCACGGAAACTCTTACCTGGAGATGGCAAAATAGTCACAGGTTAAAGTGCTGCAATATGGAAAACTGGCTTCTTCAGTTCAGATATAAATAGATAAATGCATTTTTTTACATTTCTGGCAGACAGCCATTGATTTTACCAGATGAAGGGACAACTCACTTGCAGTGTTTGTCAGTTGTAGGTAACTACATAGTGAAATCAACATTAAGTCCATGGTTGGTCCATTGGTTGGAAGTGTCTCCGGCTTACATTTCATGTATAAATACCTAACATGCACACATGCTTGCATTTTCAAGCACTATGTTTCACTTGTAAGAGACAAAACATTGAGGATGACAAACTGTAATGTGTTTGGTAAAATGTGCATGGGGTTGCTGGACTGCAAACTTGCACAATAAATCAGGAAAAGCTTCCACACAGCTGATAAATGCTACACAGTGGATGTGCTTCATACACTGGGTCTTCTTTTTTTTTTTTAACAGAATATAAGACTTTAAACTTAACTCTTGGCTCTACGTAACACCAAGTTACATCACTACTCTAGGCTGTAATTTAAGTTAGTCGGACATGCTAACAATTCCTAACCATTGCTTTCTTTACAACAGGCTGTTTATTCCATTCCTTACATTTGTGTTTCCATATTTTTGGTTTTGTGAAGGCCCCCCAGATTCTATATATATATATAGAATATTGCTTTTTCTGCTTCATAGTACTACGGCTTCAACATTCAGAGATAAACAAGCTTAACAAATTGACATATGTTCCAACTTTTTAGCCAGACTTGGAGCCTTTTAAGACCCCTTTAACAAATGATTCCAACAACCTGGCAACTAAATGTCTAGTTTACCTGCAAATTTTCGACTTGCTCATGTAAATTACATTATGATGCCACTGATATGCAAAATAGATCTGACATAATTGAGCAACTTTTCCAAGCAGACTTCAGCTACCTTCTGTTACAATTAGGTATCAACACTGGACCAACTATGGCCGAACTATATGTAAGGTAGATTTGGAAAGCTCTGCTAGGGAGATGTTTCGTAGTCAGTTGCATTCTAATGTACCTGTTTCAGGACAATGGTTGACGTTACATGAGCGATATTTGATGCGTAGCCCGTAGCAGTATTTGCCTCCGTTCTCAGGGACTGGGTTGTTACACTCTCTCTTGGCCAGCTGAACTCCTCCACCACAACTTCTAGAACAGTCTCCAAATGCACCCCACTTCCCCCATCGGCCATCCACCTGAGGACGACAGAAAACAGGTTCATCAGCCCGTGATACAAAATAATTAAGTAGGACAGGACAGTGATTTCCACATTCCCTCACCTTGACGTGCACGGTGCTGTTCTTATCAACACAGGCACCTCTGTAGCAGACCTTGCTGTTGCCACAGCTTGTGCCGTCCGCCCAGGGGAAGTGTCGGGTTTGGCAGACCAGCTGTCCGCGGGCCTTCCCGGTGCACCACAGCTTGGAGCAGGGCTGCATGTAGGGGCAGGGCTTAGATCCGGGGCCAAAGGCGAGCTCGCACTGACGGTGCAGGCTGTAGCTGGAGCCGGGTAGGTTGTCGGGGAGAGACAGCTGCTTCTGAGGCTGGTCCAGAAGACAGTCTCCTACAGAAACAAACCAACAGTGATGCATACAGTCAGGCTGCTGCTGGGGAAGCCAACATGAGTGGAGATGCACTGGGTCGCTGCTGATCAGCCTATATAAAGAACTAAACCTCATCACTATTTTTACATGTACTACTCATGATGATGTTTGACAAACTACAGCTCTTTGCAAGTTCAATGTTTTCTCCTCAATCTCATTTTCAGCAGCATGAGCAGCATCTGCACACACACTACCTACCTGACAACTAGTTAGCAACTAGCTGATGAACTACAACTCTTTGTCTGCTGATTGTACGAAAAGGTGACTGCAGATGTGATCACCATCTGAACTTAACAAAAACGTTGATCAGTTTCAATTAATGCAGATTAAGGACAAATGAAAACTCCAATCCAAGTAATGACATTTTAACTGCAAACCATGTTTTGCTAAATTGACAAATGTCATGAAATTTTTTATATTTTTTTTGCTCAACATGTTGAACCTACACTTGTATGCACTCCAGTACTACGGATATATTGTACCGATAGGTTGAATAACGCTGTGTCACTTAAAACCTATAGTTAGGACATAAAGGAACACTTTAAAAGCATATTACAGCAAATCAACAATTTCACACTCTAATAAAAGACAGATACATTCATATTCAGTCACTCTGTACAAACACAGAGACAGATCTACACGAGGCACAGCGGCTGCTTAATAATATTTAGATTAAACAAATTATTCACGTAGAAAAGAGAGCAGTGTTGAACTTGGACTGGTCAAAGTACATGCTCATTTGCTTGTTAGAGTAAAGTGGGAGGTAATAAATTAGTGCAATTAATTATGTCTGTTACACAAAACTCACTTAGAGCCACTTAGGGAGTTTACACACAGACAGAAAGGACTTGGCATGAGGAGCCACACCGAGGAGAAAAAGCTGAATGATATATTAATGCACTTATGGATGGTGTTTTGCACATGGATATCATCAGCATGGGACACTACATCCAAAGAAAGGTTGTTTTTTAGGATACGTTACATTTACACTTATTACTGCACATTA